CTGAAGTCATTAAATGAAATGGCCTCCATTTACCAAACACTAAAATTTAAAATATAATTGATTCATTTTATTAAACCAAAGTGAGTAAATACTTTTTGAATGCAAACATTTGAATTTAATTGTTTTNTTTAAAAAAATTTTTCCTAAAACCCGATTTCTTTTAAAGTGCCAAATGTGTTATATTTCGTACTTTAAATTGAGATAAATTAATCATATAATAAAGAAGGAAGTTTATCATTTTTAGAAATTACAGGTCTTTCTTAAACGTTAATATTACATAAGCTATTGGTGCAAGATTTACAAATGTTATTAGTTCATCTGTGTCATATAAAAATGTGAAGAAGTTGTGAGAATATAAACATGTTAGTTAGCACCTCAATGCACAACGGACAGAAAACGGGAATTTTCCCATCCCCTCTGTAAATAAAAATCCTTAATTAATAGTTTTCTTCGCAATACTAACCAAACTTAGATATTTTGAATTTTTGTCCCGTTTTTGCCAGTTTCATGATCCGTTATCAGGTTTATGATTAATGAAGAATGACCAGCTTGTGGAAGTGAATTGGGTTCGTCCAATTTCAATCCAACTTGATCCAGTACTCATCATCAAATTATCATGTCTATCGAACTGTCCGTTTCCGACTCATAATCACTGCCACTAGCTAAATCGCTTTCTAACAAATTAGTGTAATCAAAATCTTCGTCGTCAGAGCTCGACATTGAAGTACAAATATTTTTCCGGTGTAAACATAATGACTAACATAAATGGAACTCTTTACATATTATATTATTAAAATACGAATTATTTTATAATAATGCTCAACAACAATACGGTTACCTGAGATTTGTGAATTATGAACCAAACTGGTTATTTTTAGCAATAACAGGTTCATATCGGCATAAGCCCACGACCAAAACGAGACGATATAAATTCTTTACAAAAGGTTCAAAAAGTGGAAATAATAACGAAAATCTTTGTCCCGAGTGAGATTTGGTCGAATTGGGCTCGAGTTTGTGCGTTAAGGGATTAATAGCACGTTTAAGTACCAAAAAGACATCATTGGTATAAAAATATAATGTACATATTTAAAGAAGTAGAAAGAAATTTATGCTTGGTAATTAATTTGATAATTAGACATAGTATTTCTTCTTAATTCTTTTAGAGGTTGGTTAGTCAACTATGACGGAAGTTCGTTTTAATTAATTTCATCGTTGAGTACAATTCGGCATCATATGTCAACCCAAGCTTTTAATGCTACTAAATCTGCAAATCGTTACTTATCGTATAAAATATCAACGAATAAAAATATAGTCGGCGATTTTAGCATTAATTTGAATGAAATTTACGACTTCAATGAGAGGTGTATACATGTAAATAAAAATAAAAATTTTAGGCGATAATATGTCCAAGATGCACAATGGAATGGAATAAACTCAGCAATATTTCCATCTTCTTCAAAAGATTAATTAGTCCTGTATATTAACATGCAATTGCTGCTGCACCATTAAAAGCTTCCATTATCGATTAACTTACATAGGTTTGAAAGGTTGAACCGGGTTGGATTAAATTGGGTCTGATATCAATCAGAGATTTAAGCAAGTCAGAAATGTGAAAAAATACTTTTATTTATTGGTTGGGCCTCAATAAATCTCTTAAAATCCGTACGCGACTCGACAACTATGGTCTAGCCACCCCTGTTATATAGCATTTTATTATATCACATCACAACGTTATCTACTGTACATCTGTAACAGATGTCCCAAAATTGAAGTCATAGGTCACCTTATCTTATCATATTAAATAACGAAAATGAAACACGGAAAAAATATTCTCCCTACGTTAATGTTTTAATTAGAATACTTCATCTTTAGCGAAATTTGACTTTTAGCCCATAGCGTGAAAACAAAAGACGATAACAGTTTAGAGTTTTCTGCATTACCATTTTCTCAAAAAACGAAATCACAACATGTAAGATACTTTTTTTCTATCTCTTTTAGATTTTGAGATACTCCTCAAAAGATCACTCTTAAAGAAAAGAGAATTGTTGTCAACAAAATTAAAAAAGATCCTAATAAAAGTGCAACAAAAATTGCTATTGAAGTTAAAAGTGAATTTGGAAAATCTATATTCGTAAATACCATTCGTAACGTCCTGTATGTAGCTGGTTATAATGGTCGAATTGCCAGAAAAAAACCATTTATAAACAAAATTAATAAACAAAAAAGAAAATTATTCGTTAAAACCTATAAAAATAGTGGAAATGAGTTCTGGAACAAAGTAATATTTATAGATGAGAGTAAGTTTAACATTTATGGATCCGACGGACGACGAATGATATGGCGGCAAAAGAATAAAGAACTGAAGGAAAAAAACTTAAGACCTACATTTAAACACGGAGGAGGTTCCGTGCTAGTATGGGGCTCGAAAGGTGTTGGAAATATGCATTTCATTGATGGAATCATGGATCACAAGCAATATATCAACATTTTGAAAACAAATTTTCGAAGCAGTGCTGAAAAAATTGGGCTAAATAACGATTATGTATTTACCCAAGACAACAATCCGAAGCACACAGCCTGGAATACTAAAATGGGGTTACTCTATAATACTTCAAAATGGATTGAAACCCCTCCACAATCACCTGACATTAACCCTATTGAAAATTTGTGGAGTTTATATGAGGCGAACATCAGAAAATACAGCATTCAGAATCAAGAAGATTTAAAAGCAGCTTTGAATACTGAGTGAGAGAAAATCTCTATAGATACTAGATACAAGACAAAGATTAGTAGAATCAGTTCCAAGACGATTAGCTGAAGTCATTAAATGAAATGGCCTCCATTTACCAAACACTAAAATTTAAAATATAATTGATTCATTTTATTAAACCAAAGTGAGTGAATACTTTTTGAATGCAAACATTTGAATTTAATTGTTTTTTATTATTGTTGACTGATTGTTAGAAAAATGTCTAGTTCTAGCTAACACCTCTAACACCTTAGTGTTGTGAGTGCGACTATAAAACAACAAATTGCACGAAAAATCTAAATCTGGTGTGGTGAAAAACAAATGGCATCAACAATATCTCTCAAAATGATGACTTTGCAACAGATGAAAGCGTTTCGAGATTAACATGAAAGTACTTGACTTTCATTAACTGAAAGAAATTAGATCTCAGGAGATGATTTTCAAATATTAAAAGTCCTTCATATTTGTATGGACAGATTTTGATGACGCGTTTTCTAAACGTACCGGAAGACGCGTCATGTTTCTTGTCTTTTCCAATAAGTGAAGTAGCACATTGTAGTTCATAAAAGAAATGTAAATATTTGCAAACGATATGGTTTTCATACAAATTTCATAAATGTTGTAAAAAGTTGCATCATTTCAAACATGTTAAACAAGTTGATGTACCTTAATTTTTGTTAATAAGAAATAAATCCTTTCAAAAAAAATCAATTATAATCACAAGACATCAAATTATGATTCACTTTACATTGTATTAAGCACCCTTCACACGATCAATATACATATATATTGTCAATATCTGAGTATTGCCAATATTATTGAACGTGTGAGTAGAAAGATTGGCATATTGTCAATATTGAAAATATTGATGGGATGTTGCGAAAGAAGTTTTGAAAATCTTTTGGAGTAGATACACAAACCTCATTCAACAAATTCATTTGAGAAAACGTGTCTCTCTTTAGAAACCATTCCCTAGCCCATATTATGTTTTTTTCTGGCGTTTTATTGTTAAAACTAAAATAATAGCTACACAAGCTTTTTGACGATATGACATCTTTGAATGCCAACGCAAGACTAAGTAGATTGTCAATAAACATTGATTAGTCTGAGGCAATTACAGTTTGTCAATATTTATTGGCCATATTGACAATGTATATTGATCGTGTGAAGGGCGCTTTAGATTTTCATATTGTTTTCCTAGAATATTTCATTTCCATGACTTCACACAAAGATTGATTTTCACTTTAGTTTTGGTGCATTTTAAATTAAATATTACACAGAAATTATACAAGAAATTTCCATACAGTATTAAAATTGATTCCTTCATTGACAGGAATCTCTAAAATTCGTTACATGAATAACGTTATGTAACGATTTTGATGATTTCATCAAAAAAGATCCCATAAAAATTTTTAACATAAATATTTTTGTTCACAAAAAAGGATAATAAAATTTGTGAATCAATAAAGTAGCTCAAAAGAAATAAAAGTCTTTATAATCAGGGTGGAAAAAATCACAATTTCTTTATTTTATTCAAAAATCATTGATTTTTTCAAATATTTATCAATTTGGTTTTCTTACGTATCTTTTATTCTTTGATCTTTTCACGTAAATACGAAGGCTTCATTCAGGATTATTTATGAGGAAGAAAAAATAAAGTGTTTTGGAAGTCTTTGTGGATGTAACATAAACATGTCAGTTGATGGTTGGTCAAATGTACCCTATACTGTGTGCCACAATAACTATAATTTCATCTTAGGGATACCTACGCTAATACTGGATTACTACCATTAATATCGATGCTTTGCAGTGGTGGATTTCACAAAAGAACCTTCCTGATATTGAAAAACTTCCAACTTTAAAACAATTTTTATGTGTTGTTTGTTCTTCAGCTTCAATAGAGAGGGGTCTTTACAACATTTGGGCTCATCCACTACAAAGTGTGCAACTGCAATGAGGAGTGGAAAAAGCCAGAAAATTAGAATTTTTATATAAACTTATATACGAGGAAAATTAATTAGACAAGCTAATTAACCTTTTGAAAATCATAAAGAAAACTTATAAAAACTTAAAAGTGTCTCCCCCACAAAAAGTTACCTAACATAATGACTTAATTAACCAATAAATAGAGCAGGACGGATGTCTGAATATAATCATCATGCAGAAAATTATTCTAATTTTGAATCATAATTCCATACAAAGCGCACCTGGCACCCGAACATCTACAATAAGTATAATTATTGGCTCTTACCTTCTCCGTTCGCGACACAACACGGTTTCTTTTCCGTTGAAGGTATCCGATGTGCGAGGAACAAAAATTTTAAGTGATGATGAATTGAAATTATTGGTAATGGAGATTCTTTTTCGGTGGAGTATCAATTAACTCATGATTTCCAAAACTGATCGTCCGGCGAAACACGAACTCGTACTGAATTAAGACCGAACTAAACCACAACAATCGAGGCTCAAGCGTCAACTGAAAATGTAAACAGAAAAATTAAACTGAAGACTTTTTTTACCGACTTCACTAGTTAAACGACATCTATTACAATTTATTTGAATTATACAAAGAAAACTATAATATGATTTTTAATATTAAACTATTTAATTAATAATTATTTTAAGTTGAATACTATAATAGATAATTAATTATTAAATTTGTTATTATTATAAATGAATTAAATAAGAAATAAACTCGATGATGACTAATAAATAAAATACGTTCATTTTTATTACATACAGTTTAATTCTTGTGTTTATAGATGGCGATATTCGACATATTGATTTGATAGCAAGTTGTCAAAAGTGTTTATAACCTAACTTTTTCGATATATAAAATAGGATTTTAAAGTGTTTCTTCGCAAATGGGGCGAAGATATTATTGTGATTATTGTAACAAAACCTTTATAGATGATTTGGATGCGAGGAAGAAACATTTATCTAGTAGTCATCACATAAAGCTTAGAAATCTTCATTATGAAATGTACCGAGGTAAGAATTATGGTATCAAATCACTGAATAATCATTTAGGGTAATTTAATATAAAACTACCAAGGTTTTCCTACGTGGTTTTCGCATAATACCATTAAAGTAATTCGAGAGAAAAGGAAACCGACTTGACTACCTCACTTTTTTCATTCTAAGGAGTTTTGCAAAGTATCTAATCCATCTTAATTACATACAGTATGTTAGAAGAGCTGAAAGCAATATCCAATCTGACCAGGGTTGCCAGGTTACACACATAGCATGTCCTGAGCCATGTCATAAAAAATCATGAGAAATCATGAGATGTAGAAATTTGTTTAAAAATCACTCAATTTTAATAATGTGTTACATATAGGTATAGGATTCAAGTAAAATAGTTTAGACAACGTTGGTATATAAAAGTGATATAATTAAAGGGAAATAAAATATTAGTTTAAGTAATTTCTTAGCGCCATCTAGCGGCGAATAGATGTAACTAATAGAGAAATTTACAGTAACCTATAATTCGAGTTGAAAATGCTATGATTTTATTAACACTAATTATTATATTATTTTTGTAATAAAATCGTGAGAAGTACATGTGAAATCGTGAGATTAAAGGTAATATCATGAGGTTTCACGATAAATCGTGAGTCCTGGCAACCTTGAATCTGACCCAAAGGTGTTTTGGGCTTTTACTAACAATAAGTCTAAGAAGTTTTTGTTGATCCCAGGTGCAGTTTAACAGGATTGAGATTCAGGAGGCTCTGATGGGTTACTGACAGTATTGGTATTCCATCAATTTTAATCAAGGAATATTTATTTAACACTTCATTAGTAATGGGTGTCTTTCCTTCATTGTGTAAGCAGCCTTTATTCTTTCTATTTTCAAATCTAGGGACCATGGTGTTATATCTGATAAGCGCCCCATATCTATTTTGCCAGCATTTGAGAAAGTGGTTTAAGCATGTCTATTCTTTGCCCTTAAGTCTAAAATCAATTATAGACAACATGTTTTTTTTTGCTGGTCTCTCGGCTGAGAGCACAGCATAACCAGAAATGACACAAACGTCGATTCGTTTGATGTTGGCGGCATCTCATTTTGTGACCTTGATTTCAAATCTGCCATCTTATCGCGAGTTAGCAAAGGCAGAGAATAACCAGAAGTGACACTGGCCGTATCCCGCCAAATCTTTACCAATCTTTTGGAACTCGCTATAATATCGCGTCAGGTTTGGTGGGATACTACCAGTGTCACTTTTGGTTATTCTACCTCGCTTTGACTTTCTATTTATAACATCTACTCCTAGAACCTAAATTCTCCTTTATTGAGAATGGCAAGATCCGCAAATCGTGTTAACATAGATCTGTTTCAGGATTCTTTCTATGCATTTAAAAAATTCCTCTTTGCTACAGTTGGTGTGTTGGCGCGGTCGTTCATTTGATATGTGATATTTATATCACCTAGACTTTGTTTTATTATTATTGTGAATTCTAATTTAACTTGCACACAACTGGTTGTTTGTGATACAGTGTTATTGGCTTCGACCTGTTTCTGTACCCACTTGAGATAAATAAGTATAGATTGAACTGTATTATTAAATTTTCAATTTAAATTTTATAATTCATGTTAATAACCAATAAAATCATTCTGGCATTCTAATTGGGTTGATTATTGTTTGCAGATCCACAAACTGTGGTAGCTGAAGAAGCAGTTAAATTACCTTGTCGAAGATTTATGCAAACTGGTATTTGCCAATTTGCTGGAAATTGTAAATATACCCATTATACAGTTGAGGAATTATGGAATATTAAACAACAAGGTTAGTTTATTAACGATGAATCAAATTTCTTTATATTTAACACAAACATTTCAATTTAAATAATGATTTAGTTGAACATGAAATACAAGAGAAAAGATCGGCCAAAATGATGGTAACGGAAGTTCCTCCACTCGAAACGTGGTTAGACAAGTTTTATAAGAAACACAATCAAGCAAAAAACGCCGAGTCTATTGAACTTTTCTGGTCGTATCCGGAAGTTTTGGAAAGTCGAACAGATTTACCTCCATCGATCAAAAAGTTTCAAATTGATCACTTTACAGATGGTGAATTTGAGGAATGGGGTAGTTAAATGTTTATTCGAAATTTTTTTTTCAATTTCCATTTATTAATTTTGTTAAAGGATAGAATAAAATAAATACAATTTCTAATTAATTGTTTATTATTTTTACGATATCGTTTGAACAAAGCAGGAAAAACACTAAAATCAGTACAAATACACACCTTAAAAGTATAAATACGATGTTTAAAAAGGAGATAAAACGGTTTTAAAATTTCGATTTTTTTTCTTACAGTGATTCTCAACAATGTGCGACAATAAAATTTTAGTTTTATTGTTTTTAAAAAAGTACATTTAAAACAAAACTTTTTGTTAAAACTTTATATATAAAAATAATATGTATACAATGCGTATTATTTATTAAATATTGCTATCCAATCAATATATGTTCGTATATTATTATTTATTGTTATGTGTATTGTATTACATATTTTATATTAATATATTATATACAAAATAAATGAATAAACACAAACATAGAAAAGTTATTCATTTGTTAAGTATTTTTGAAAAGCTGAAGTTAAAACTAAATTATTTATTTTCAAATCCATCTTTCACGCTGTTTTTCCTTCTTTTTGTATATTTGTATTAATGTAGTGTTAATAAAATATCATGCAATTCCTTCTATGCAGGTGGTGCTTGGACATTTTTTTTAGATTGGTGCAAGTTTATCAATAATTATATAAATAGTATCGATACTAAGCTAAAATTTATAATACGAATGACCGATAACAGTAATTTTCATGTAAGTACCCTAAAATCCAAAATTTTTTTCGTTCATCTTTACTCATTCTATTTGATCCATTTAGGTATGACCTTAATATTTATTAATTTTTTTATTTTTTGAAAAATCAAAATCAATCAATAACCATCAATTTAAAGGGTATTTAAAGAAGAAAAGTATTTTACTTCTTTTCTTTTAATCGCGAAGGACGAATAGAGAAGATTATTAATATTTTCTTTTTAATCTTATTCATCCTTGTGCTTCATGTGAGTTCGGAACGTCGCCTGAATCTTTGACGCCGCTTTATTTAGATCTGGATCGGCCAAATCAATGTCAAAATCTTCTTCATCCTACAAATTATTAAACAAATATTACACATATTTACTAATCTAAGCCATATTTTTTGTTCATTGAATAGTTAGTAATTATAACGAAATGAATAAATGTGGTGAATTTGAAATATAGAGAATATTGAGTTGGCCTAGTTGGAATAGTTAAAGTATATTTTCTAGTAGAATCAACGCTAGGAAAGCACGAGGCGAATCTTATGACGTAATACTTCTTCTTCTTTGCGGAAGCCATAGAGGATTGTTCTACCCATTCTGTTTTGTCTGCATTTCCTATGATGTGATCTCTAGCATTCCTTGCTAGTCTATTCTTTTCCCTTCGTGAAACGTACTCGTTGCATAGTGTCCAGCTTCATTTCTGATTCCATAATGATTCTGATTGCTTTCTGATTGCACTCAAAATCTTCATCTCGTTGATATACTACCCTTCTGGTTTCGCTGTGTTTGCCCGCGCCTCTTAAGTATATTATGGACCTCACGCAGGCTTTGTGTAGGTATCCTAACTTTGGGGTCTTGCTAGATTCACAGTTTTTGCTCCAGATGGTCGTTTACAATTCGTTTACAATTAATTACAATTTTGGCTGACTTGTTGACACGTTTTCTCATGTTGTTCTTGAGTTCTCCATAAGACGATGTGCTTACGTTAGTTAGTAGATGCTAGTTTGTATCGGCTCAATTCTGTAGCTATTTGTTTTTTTTATCTCCATTCATTCTTCAGTTCATGCTTCCTTTTGTTTGCAATCAATGTCTCATCCTCCATGTAGCACAACGATATTTAATAGTTATTTTCCCATCTTTTCTCCCTGTTTTACTTTACGCATTTATTATATTCCATTAAGATGTTGAATAGTATTGGGCTGAGGTGTCACTTTGCCTCATATCTACATATAAGGGTATTTTTCTGTACTAATTGTCTTTGTTATAATATGCTGATATTGTTAATAGTAAGTTGTCTAATTTTTTCTATTATGTGTGCTAATGAAACTCTTTTATAACGTCTTTTATAAAGTTATTGATTTTGAACGACTTTAAACAAGTTCCAACCTGAACATCTCGACCTTTCCAGAATAAATACATAACCAAACCATATTTCAGTGAATTCAAATTAAAACGATTACTAACAATAGAACGGTATAATTCACACGTGAAATATTACAAAAGCTCGTTCTTTTTTGCACATTCTCTTGGATATCGCAATTTATAAATCAGCTGTCAAGCGCAAAGGGTTCGTAAAATTGGCCACTCTGAATTTACATAGCTTTAAGGGAACGAGTACTAGACGATATAGGAATTATTGATTTAAAAATTCACTATCTCAAATCTAGACTAAAAGGGGACACACGTGTGAATCGGGACGTCACCGAAAGTAATTACGGTATTGCGTGGATCTATTAAAAGACGATAGGAACATATGAGATTAATTGTAAGCGATTATTTTTAAGCAATCTTTAAATTATTGTTGATTAAAATTAGATCCAACAATAAATAAACAATATAGTCTTGTCAGATAGACTAACAAGAAAAGACGACAGGTTTACCACCACGATTAATATAAATAAGATAATAACTCACAGTCTTTCTAAAGGTAAAACATATTAATACTATGATGAAAAATAAAACAAGATGTTAAGTAGCATGCAGTGTGAAGGATTCATGGCAAATATTGGCTGATTAATGGGGATCACGAGAATGAGTCAGCTTTAATCTGAGGTAGTGGATTGAAAGTGCAAAATCTTATACAAAGACTATTTACCCAAAATCAACGGTTTTGATAGGTGAGAGAAACAAGTTACTTCGACAAGATAAAATATGATTATGCATATCCAAATCAGTAATTAAATGTCAACAATTGTTTTTTAATTTTTGGATTTTGTTGCACACTTCGATCGCTAAGTCAGTGCAGACCCTATTGAGTATTGTAACAAGATATTGATATAAATTTGTAGATAATTGACGTAGTTAAGATAGTTGGAAGAAAATACTCCTGATACAAATAGAAACAACGAATTAGAATAATACCACTGGTCGTATAATGTAGCGTTTAACTCCACGACTCTTAGAGACTCGATGACCAAAGAGCCAAGCAAGCTCTAGCAAACTATGTAGTTCTCGTTCTGTTGAAAAATCGCCGTTCTGGCTGAAGATGTGGATATTGGACATCGTCCTATCAGTTTTCACCTGTGCTTTCATGTTTTTCTTCAAGATTTATAATGTTTCTCATGTTTTTCTTTTTCCCTCCATTATATCCCCTTTATATCTATCTTGGTCATTTTCTCTCCTACCTTTTCCTTTGCCATTAATTTTTGCCTGTGTGATCATCTCTATCTATGCGTACTCATTCGCTATTTACGAGATTATCGGGTAGAATCCCTTATTCAACTTCTACCAGTGTTATTTTTGTTTTAATTGATTGCTGCCAAATAGGGTTTCCGTCTAACATCTTTTTTCATTTGATGTGCTTTTCTTCCATGACTTTTGCTCCAACCTTTTTCGGTCTTTGTAGCGAACCGCGAATTTGGTTAATTTTATTGAATTATTTTTTTTGTCTTTGTCGTTCGATCTTTGTATCATTATTTTGAAAAGGGTTCTCTGTATCATTTTTCCCCTACTTTAGTTCAGTCCAGAACGTTTTCTGTGGTCCAGTTTCTTTCGGCCAATGAAGACGGAAGAATAGACCAGGCAGTTCGTAGTAGTTGGAATTCAGTGGCCATGTTCGGCGGAAGAAACTGAGAATTCAGAGTTTATAGTAAAGTGAGTTTTGAGTTGGAGTTCGGTCAAGAGTTAGAGTTCCGAAGAGCAGAGTTCGAGGGAAGAGTTTTTCCAGTGCAGTTCAGAGAAGTAGTTAGACGGAATGAGTAGTTTCCAAGGAATCAGTTCTATAATCTAATCCAGTTCAATGAAGAAGGGAGTCTAGAACCAAAGAAAAAGAAGAGTCGAGTTGAGAGGTAAGATTTTTATCGATTTTTCTTACTGCATCATCAACTCTGGATGTTTGTCATCCTAAGAAGACCCTTCTTTCTCTTCTGAGGTCTATGGTATTCAAAGATGGCATGTTGCTGTGGTGAGCGGCCAATTATGATATTTCACCGAAAGGCAATCCCTTCTATGTCCTGGTTAACAGGATCTGATATAAATGAGTCTTTTTAGTCTAGTACTAGTAAAGTATAGTTGGAAAATAGAGCCTGCTCAATGCTCTTCAAGATGTTAGCATCTATTTTTTTCACTTTAAGAAACACAGGGATAATCAAACTTTTCCAAAATTATTGCTAGAAATTTGAAGAGATAAAGAACATGAACATGCATAAAGTATTCTAATTTGAATAGATCGGGTTGATATTTTCTTTACTCTTGAATTCATATTTCATTTATATTTGTGGATAAATGCATCTGCAGTTAGAAGATTTTTATAACAAATGTATCAAAAAATAAAAGTACGTACCTACATTTACTACTATTGCTTATATTTAAGTCAAAAAAACTAAAGTACTACAAGGAATTAAAGTAACGCGAGTTAAAACCTATATAGATAGAAACGTAGATTGGAATCCTGCCAGATAAAAGAATTATTATACCCATAAAACACTCAGTTTGGACATACGAAAAACATTTTTGTTCTAGTATTTAGTAAATATCTTTTAAGTAGTAACTATTAACCCATGTTATAAAACGAATCACACCAACAATAAATAGTCTTATTTTCTTATATTCAGATTATCCTAAAAATGTAAAATCTTATAAAATAAACAAAAATGATATGGCTTCATACGTATTTAAACATATTGATTAAAAAAATACTTCTGGTTTTTTATTCACATCAGCTTGTGCTTCCTCTTGTTCTCCACCATCTTTATCTGCAATCTTTTTTCTAGCCATATGACCTCTAAAAGACGCTTGAATTTTTGTTGCCGCATTACACAATTCTGAAATATAAACGATATTACTAGATTTATAAGCTTACAATAAAAAAACTTTTTTAAAAATGTAATAACTTTTAATAACACCGGTTTCGTAAACTTTTAATTAACATGTCAAGTTGAAAGGATAATTTACTAGCTACCATAAAGAAAGAAAAAAAGAACGAACTGTTCGTTTATTGATTATATTGAGGCCATTATCTCGGTGCAATATCGGAAACTGAAGAGGAATTTTCATGAATCAGCGTTTTCGATGAACACGTTCTACATTTAAACGATGTTCTTGAATTAAGTGAATAAATTACGTAGTAAAAAATTTGATGTTACAAGTTTTTTAATTTATGTCAAAAAATTACGAGAACAAAATTAAATAACGTTGGGGATTTTTTTAAGCCAAACATATTGGTGAGCATAATCCATATAAATCCATATTTGGCCACGGTTATTCGTTATCCTGTCACACAACGTCAGGAATTTGGGTCATATGTGTTCATTTGCGTACCGAAAGTAAGAACAAAATTTATATTAACTTTTTGAAATTGAATTTGATATTTTAACGAACAAATATGATGTTTAAGAAAATTAGCAAAGTAAATATTAACTCTTTTTGTAATTAGAAAGCGTTAATTACTATCAGTCATAAACGGCAGAATAAACTATTAAATCTAATTCCCGAGAAAAGCGCTCTCAAAATTACACACTGTCCAGCTTTGACCTACTTTTCCCACTAATAAAGGGTTTATCTAATAAACCCAAGGGTTTTCATTCGCAATACGTTTCAGCTTCAACATGCGTTTAGATAGCTGTTAATTCTTCCAATCCACTGGTTTTATTAAGTAACTCTAACAGTTTTTGTGTTTTTACAACCTTCATTTAATCGAATGCAAAAAGAATCATTTCCTTTTTTGAAAGGGGAAATACACTTAGAACTATTAGAGTTTTTTCATGAAATAATTCTTAAATCAATGTGATACTGAAATGTTAAAGCGAAATTTCAAGTATTTCAGCATTTAGAATAGTTTAGGCAATAGGTTATGAACTGAAACGTAAGAAAAACTCAGAAGCTTGGAGGGAAAGGAAAATTGATAGTCTAATACGAAAACTGACCACATATTATGGCCTGGGTATTCCTGGAAGAGTTCGTTTAAACCAAAGCTATGGTTTTGTTCTGTGAATGACACCTTAGTGATTCGGCAGCATGAAAAAGAACGTCTCAAAAGTTTTTAAACTACTTGAACTCGCAACACCCCGTGATCAAATTTACCATGGAGACGGAAGCTGCTAAACAGTAACCTTTCCTGGATGTTTTGGCCAGTAAGAAGATAGAACTAGAAACGTTCGGGTTTAGTCATACATCTCTTAAGACGGAACCATTTTTTACAACTTGAAACCATTTTGAGAGACGCAAGGCTAAACCAGAATGTTTCTAGTTCTAACACTGGGCTTAGAACTAGAAGCATTTGGGTTCAGCCGTCTTGAAGGCTAAACTCGAATATTTCTAGTACTAGGTCTAGTGTTAGTTCACCAGGTTCTTGTATATTTTGAACACTTGGAATTTGTTTCTGAAGAAGTTTATGGTGATAATCTTAGTTCAAGTTTTAGTAATAATTGTTGTAACACAGTGTCATTTTAGAAATAAGCAATTGAACAAAATTTTTGAAATTAATTGCATCTTAATGAAAAAAATCTTGAAAACGCATTTATTTTTGCGCGTCTAAATGTATTTCCTCCGTTAAGTAAAGACACGAAAGTTATTTATTGAAGTTGAAACACGGAAATAACTTAAAAAAAAAGAAAATTCTTACCAGGATCGTCGGGTTTAAATTCGTTTGCTAAATCTTCAGCGGTTTCCGCGTTTTTCTCGGGTTTATCGGCTTGTTTCATGGTTTTCCTTGTTTGGTGACCCCTAAAAGCTGCTTGTATTTTCGTCGCCGCTTCTTCTAATCCTTCAGTCTCTGGCGACTTTTCGTTTTCTAAATTAACGATTTTAGTTTCTGGTATTTTTGTCGTTTCTTTATTACGATCCGAGCTTTCTGAAACTTTTTTCGCGACAGCTTCTTTAATCTCGTTGGTTAACGCCTGTGGTAATTGAAGTATTTTTTCTAAAACAACAAATATATTTTTTAATTAATTTTTTTGTATACATTCTTTATATATTATCTTATAAAATAGTCTTGGATGACCTTATAAGTTTTCATAGCAAACTTTTAACAACACGATGCAAGAACGGAAACTTTATATAAACGGTTACAGCGAGAATTTCATAGAAAATTTAGTTATAACTTTGTCTTTAACACAATTGAGGACAAATTATATACCGGAAACTAAACTTAATCCAACTAAATTATACGTAAACATTAATACATTATAAGTTAATAAGAAGTAAGTAGATAAGAAAATAAAATATTTAAATTCGTCGTTAATCAACGTAAGCGTTTTATTGATTTAAAGACGTCTTTGCAAGTTACTAATTCTAGACTTCCTGAACGCAATCCGAGTTATACAACTGAAGGTTTCTCATGCTTTACAACTTGAGCTCAAGGTATGTAAATACGTCATCGAAAGCTTTCGCGAGTTTAAACTGCACGAACGTAATAATCAGCATTTCATGTTAGCTATGAAATGTTGAGTTGGATCGACAAATTCGTGTTAACATATAAAGTTTATCAACAGTCGCAAATTCACTAATAAAAATGAAAATACTGTTACACATTAAATTTGTAAATTTATAAAGAAAGAATTTTTATTTTCGTATTGAAACATGCGACCTTGTGAAATCCTAATGTGAAAACTAGAAATAGTTTTATTTATTGATTATTGGAATATTGAATTATTAAAAATAATAAAATGGTAGTTAATAAAGAATTCTTGTTATCAACTGGAGAATTTATTATTTACTCAGTAATAAACCCGACGGATTCAAATCTGATATCCCTTATAAAAGCAAAGTCAACAAAACCATACGGTCATAAAAAAGATAACCCAGTAACATAACCCAAAAAGATTTATAACAATGAAGGTTATTATTAATGAATCTCGGCTACAAAAAAAAATACTTTTACACATACATAAAAGTATGAAATAAATAATAAATCTTGTCCCCCTTTTATTGTAGCATATTGTACCTAGTTTTACGACTACTTTGAAATTTACAGTTCGACTTATACTAGTAGGGGCGTATAGGATAATAATTTGTAAACGAGCCCAGACATTCGCGCCCAGAATCCAAGAGAAGAGAGAGAGTGCATGTGTATTCCGGCAATAACCGGCATCCCTAGAGTGCCCAGTTTCAGAGGCCCAATCGTTACTGACAACCAGGTCAAAAGGTCGAACCCATCCCCCGAACTGTTGGGTTGCCCCGTTTGCAATAATAGCGGAAGAGGATTAACGAAACAAAAGTGGATCTCGAGATATACTACGAGATACTAAACGTACTTTGAACGGTTTCCAATTCAAATAATAAAAAATGATTTCAATAAAAACAATAAAAATCTGCAACTAATGGCTTGCAACACAAGTTACTAAAGGTGGAATTATTGATGCTGAAAATAAAGTTTGAGATTATATTAGTATATAATCTATTATATAGTACAAAGTTTTCATAAAATTCTCTTCATGAATTTTAAAATGTAGAAATAACATTTATTGGTAGATTTTATAAAACTAACACAATAAATATATTAGTATAATTTTCAGAATCAATAAATTTTCAAAACAATTAGCTTTTTTTATGGTTAAGGTAAAATCGGGTTACATTGGGTTTGGTTGTATTAGGTAGTGTTACATTGGGAGCGGGCGAGATGATTTAATACTGTTGTGTGTGAACAGTCTGTTGTACATACCATAGCCTTTAATTGCTGGCGTTTATGTCGCTACTCCCCTGACGATTTTTATGAGAAAAAGTCAACAGTGATTTACAAAGTTGGACCAGCAAGTCCGCATTGTTTCAGACTCTGTGTGCATATATTCCGAGCCTATCGTTATTTGGTTGAAACATTTTAGTAATCATAGCAGTGGAATAATATTATTGCAATTCCTTCGAGATATTCTATCATTTGCAATGTCTTTAGACATTGTTTTTTTTTTGATACCATTAAAAATTTATTTTACATATTGACAAGAATAAGCTAAATTCAAGTTTCTAAATACTGTTGCCTCTAGTAGTTGGCCTCTTACTCAACCTGTCGTTCAAAACAGGCATTTTGCACCATCGCGTATTTCACAATCTAAACCAATTTAGCCAATATCTACATCATCAAGTGATAGAAAATCCAAAGAAAAATTAAAATAATAAACAAGCGAGACAAATCAAAGATACATGGTTTTGCTTCATTTGATATGAAGTTAAAGAAGGAGAGGCGATTCGATGTATATTCAAAGGCAACGAAATATATTATCAGTGTCTGATTCCAAAGATATCCTGTAATCTGTAAAAACAATACTGCTTCTGAAGACTAATAAACATTTGTCAAACTACCAACCAAGTATTGTTAATAGACATACCGAAGAGATGTGGTTTTGCATGATTTACAACCGAACTCGAATAAATTTGATGTTATCCTATTTTGATTAAAAAGTATATGGGACGATCTGAACGGGCGTCTTATGTTAGAAGGGGACTTCGTGTAGGAGATCACGGAAATCAAGGACCTGAAGTTGCACTTTTTATCATCATCTACTGGTGCTACAGCTCTGTGTGGGCTTTAGCCCCCGTAACGACGTTTTTCCATTAATCCCTATTAAGAGCTTTACGTCTCCATCTTTTGACCTTCAAGATTTTTATAGCAACTGTGTCAAGAACGCTTCGAAGGGCACCTAGTCTATAAAGTGTCTATATGTTCTGTTTCCACTGGTAGGTCCATTTTCTATTTGAAGGAAAGCCTGAGATTCGTCCGATTTTGTCTTTTAGGAGAAATAATATAAAAAGTTTTTGTACTTTTAAGCTGGTCTTTAATTAGATAATAAACTAAATCTTACTAGTTTCGGCTACAAGCCATATTCAGAGATAAAAATGTCACATTATTATAAAAACTTGTGCTATAATACAATGTGTATTTTAATTTTATTTTTAGAGTCAGAAAGTTCTAAGTTTTTAAAATGTTAACGTATTGTTGTGTCCAAAAAAATGTAAGCTGTTTGCTGCATTACGTATATCCTTGTGTTGGTAGTCCATTGTCCGGGACACACGATGGCTACCTGGAACTAGGTTTTATTGGTACGTTATGGGCAGACTGTTTCTCAAAGTTTTAGTGCAGATCAACGATTGGCACCCTGATCTGCCTCCAAGACCCATTTACTAACCATTTCAGCTCCAATATTTCTTATATCTTCTTTTAACTTGTCACCCATAGTCGGAATTTCGTGGTAAACTATATCCTTAGGAACTACATTGACTTGACATACCAATTTAATGTTAAAACTTCACGAGCACTTTAACGAAAATATGCTACACCCATCATTTTGTAATCATATAGTCTATGTTTGTTGTAAAGGCAAATTTTCAAATAATATCCGTAAGTTATGTTCCATTAATAAATGGAGCAATCAATGTATCAATAATTATACCATGTTCGACATTAACAGAGCAAAGTCGTTGATGATCCAACCACCCTGTATTCATTGCTCCAAAAATGCATTTTAAGATTATTCACTTGTTGATGATTCGTAAATGTGGGTAAATCTCCATCAAAGAAATGTGTTGTCTCATTTTTTTGTATCCGTTGACAAAACATTAAACGATAAAATCGTTCTATAATTGATTATCTACCTATATTGTTTCCTTTTTTTAGCACTGACAACTTGTCGGGGTTTTTTCTTGCTTCTACTTCCAGTGTTAGTGAAATCAATCACACCTCGATAAAAAGTACTTTTGGAAGGCGTATTTCGATTAGAAAAACGCTTTCGATACAGAATTATAGCATCAGTAACGTTTTTGCTACTGTCTTCTTAAATTAAAACCATTTCTATCTTTTCTGCGATACTTAGAGTATTCATGATTTTAATGACTTACAATTACTTTAAACGTTTTCTGCAAAAATTAGTTTTACTTGTTTTAAAATGTATTTTGGAGATGTCGACACAATTATATTGTATGTCGGCTACCTTTGTCATTATTATTTCAGCGAATTCTTGTTTTCACTATTTATTCCTGCATTTAGTAAAATGATAAATTGGGTGCTATTTAAATTATGGGGTAACATGTCTCACGTGAAAAGGATCACCCTGATTGTGGCCATCTGACTGTCACGATGTTCTTAGATGTAGCTGAAGAAAGCTTCATATTCGAATCTACATCAGATTCATGTTTGTATCATTACGGATAATTAATAAATAATTATTTTCTGAAATTTCAGAAACTGTAGCAACCTGGTTCGCCAATCAAATAATGTCCTTGCGAAAAGTTTTTTTCAATCATTTTAATTTCAGTACTTTCGACAATACACTTGCGTTGTTGAATGGATTTCCACGTCAGCTTACTTAATAGCATTAACAGCACATTGCATAAATATCTTTATAGTAGAAACAAGATTAAGGCAATAATTAATAAAAATATAAGTTAAGAAATATCAATCTCACCGAATAAAGTGTTTTCCTGCACCAGATACCATTAAAAATATATATTTTTCCCAATATTTTTTATTTTTAATTGAATTTACTTAATACTTTTTACTGACTTAAATTTAATCATCGGTTCAGAGAACTATAATGATTGCAGTTATTTGTTACGGGATCGATTAACTAGCGTTTGGAAACCATCCCACTAGAGCATGGATCTAAGTAGAACAACGAAACCGATCCAAAGTATGCGAACTGCAGATCTCTCCATTCACAGCAAATGATCCTTCTAAAATACGTTGGTTACGTAATAGGACCTCGTAGAGTATCAAAATTACAGTCATTATTTAAGTTTTTATTGCAAAATATTATATAAAGCGAACACACCTGTTGCAATCTGAAGTGATGTATTACGCAATTTATTTTTGTAAGGACTATAAGTAAATTGTCAATTTAGAAATATAATTGTCCTACATCGCCATGCGATATCACCACGCATATCTGACATCAAAATTTCTCATTTACTTTTCATGTACATAAGTACATA